TATTAATTGTTCATAAGTATATTACATTCACATACTGTTTGCATATGAAAACATATTGTGAAGAAAAAATAACTTCTTCTTTACTTTTTGTTTTGCAGGATGATTTTCATTATCAGTTTACTGAGTGTGATAGTGATGGAGTAAGGTGGAGAGTGTCTGTACCGGACCCAGATGCTTGCACTGGTGGTGCCCCGCCTCCTCCTGTCAGAGCACCTGACTGTGGTAAGTATTATCGCATTCAATGGTACATTTGACCCGCATCATTTATTATTTTAATTTTATGATCACTGTTTTTGTAACTGAATTGTGTTAAATAGCCATAAAACTAAACAGCATACATTGTTTGATTGAATCATCTGGCATGTTGACTAGTGGCACTTTACTCCAAAGAATATACCTACTACACTCAGAAGCTTGATAGTCTTGCTGACAATATATTTAAAAAAAACATCTGGTCCAAACATACGTGTTTAAATATAAGTTTATTTTCACACAAATGTGAACAGAAATGAGTTCATTGTAACAGAACATTGAGCTGTCATAAAAAAATGTAATGAAAGAAATATAATTGTTATATTGACCAACGTTTATGATTCTAAACACTAAGCTAGTGTGCAACTAGGATGCAAATATATACATGTATTTCTGTTATTCCAATAATTCTGCTTTGCATATTATTGTTAACGTGGTCTGTGTACGTTGTTGAATTTTTTGAAAAGAGTACAATCATGTTCTTCATATGAAGATACCACTACTACTTAAATTGTTTGCTTCCAAAATCATTCGTGAGGTACAGTGAACTCTTAATTCAGATCTGAGTCGTATTCAATATTGGCTGGATCTGAATAAGCTAACTCTTAATGTAAAAAAAAATAAATGTCTGCTTTTTATCAAATCTAAAGGTCTCTTAAGCTGTTGTAGTTTAAATATTAAAATTGTCAATCAACCCTTGTGAACAATTCTTTTCGTTTGAATATCTGGGTGTCTGATTTGACCCAAACTTAAAATTGGATTATAAATTAAATTTGTGATAAGATAACTCAAAAATGATGTGTTCTAAAAGGGTCAGACCATATCCCAGAATTGGAACTACTACCGGTAATATGCTTTATAAAGCGACTGTGCTGATGTGGTTTGGTGGATTGTGGAATAACGCTTTTTGATCGGTTACAACATTTAAAATAGATCTGCCAGAATTATTCTGCAGTATGAACTTAGATCACACTCAAATGATATGCTGAAGTAATAATAATATTCATTTTATTAACACATTCCCCGGAGGGATTGGCAATGGTTACAAAAGTTTAAGAAGGAATAAAAGGTTACAAAAAAGTAAATAGATAAAATAAAACAAACTAAGCTAATATATTACAGAGAATAATATACTGTAAGGTTCAAGCTGACATTCAAAAGTCGTATACTTATTTCAAAATACATGTAATACATGGGTATTTGTCGTCATATTTTTCTACTTTTGTCAAGCCTATTAAACAAGTGCATAACCATCACAGATATCAGAGGATAAATAAGTGTGTTTCTATTCTCCCGGCGAAAAGTAATTCAGGAAAACGAATGTTTTGCTTTTCTGCAGCTTTTATTTCAAGAGTCTACACACGGTTGTAAAAATTAGTTCAACTTTAACTGAATAAGTGAATTTATATATCTTTAATGTCTTGTAAGTCTTACTTTTCCATAATTACCTATATTTATGTTTTGTTTACTTTTGTATTAATATTTTGTGTTTGATGTTATATGCATACAGTCAGTCTGTATATCTTCCTTTTGTCATAAATTGTGTGTAAATCAAAAAAAGATTCAGTGGATTATCTTCACCGATTCACTAATTTGGAAAAAAAAATTAAATTTCAAGTGAAAATAAAGAATCCCACAGTAATGGAAGGTGCATGCATGAATATAAAAAATAATTACGCTTTCTTTCTTGAACTTTGCCACAGTGGAAAATAATAAACTCACAAATCATGTATATTAATGGGTCAGTTAAATCAGCTGTGTCATGTTATTTAGGGAGGGCATTTTATATCTGAAAAGTAAATAGAAAATTGAATCACTATACATGTATATGGCTGCAGCAGCTTTTATATTTGAGTTCTTTGTTTTTACCTTTGGGCCACACTTTTTTTATTCCTTGTTTCTCGAGTTTTTATAAGGCAATTTTTTTGAGAAGGGCGGGAAAAAATAAAATTAATTCTTTTTTTCCATTAGATTTGTGTGATTCTCAAAGAATTGTAAGTGAGATCATTGATCGGAGAGAAGAAATGAAATAAAATTTTATTCCATGTATAACCTTGTTTCTCATCTGCGTGAGACTTCGGTACTTTGATCATGATACTCCCACGAAAATGCAAATTGGGTTCAGCAGGCGGAAAAAAAATGAAGATAAAAATAAGTTTTTTTTAGCAATTTTTTGCACTTACAAGTTGGCGGGCGCGGGAAACTACGCTGAAATAAAATTTTGTTTTTATTTCATTTTCGACTCCTGTTCATTCGGCGGGTTCGCGAAACAAGGGATAATATAAGTCTGGCCTGCCTCTAAAACATCCTCTATGTGTCCTTTCACACTATGTGGGTATCATTTGCATAACAATGCAATTTAACCCTCATCTATAGTCATTTCTCTAAAACCCTTCTCATTTGCATATAAATGTAGGAGTGAAATTCCTTTCCACAATTTTATTTTTAAAAAACAAATTATAAATAATATACTTTTTGAGGTTGTTTATTTGACTGGAGTTGATTTAAATGACAACGAAGGGGTAGAAATTTGCCATGTTTTTGTTCTTTTGTAATACTATGATTGTTGTACCATGCATATGTCTTGACCTTGTTCATGAAACCCTTGACTCTAATTTGACATGTCCCTGAGGATAGTTTAAACTTTTAAAAAGAAATTTCAATGACAGATTAAACACATATGATATGGCTGATATGGTTCTCCAAGGTTGAACAATAATTCTGTCGTCACTTTCTGTATATTAGCATGGAAAACATTTTTGCGATCTTCTAAATTTTGATTAAAAAAATCAAAAACAAAAAGGGAATAGGTATTAGAGCATGGTTTCTTTGAAAAAGTTTCTAAAATTTTCACTTATCAAGATTGATCATTCTCAAGAACACTTACTTTAATTAGAGGATTTATTACAAGTGTTTTGCACTTTGACCAGCATACTAGTACTACCACCTTGCAAGTCACACTTGTCTTTACCCCTATAAACAATACTGTGAAATACTTTATTTTAGCTGGAATTAATTTAACCCAAAGCTTTTTGGGTGTTTTTTATGGAATTTATTTTCACTGATTTTTGATGAGTTGTATGTGAGACATAGGAAAAAAAGTATATTCGCTGGATTTTATTTTCACTGAAGCCATCCCTTCAGCGAAAATAGCGAAAATAAATTCCAAGCGAAAATAAAGTATTCTACAGTATTTGTCATTCTTTGCAAGGTAAACCTGCTTATTTTTTCCCATATTTTTAAAGATTTTTTACCCAGATTTGTAGTAGATGGAAACTATGTCAATTTTGTATTAAATTTTGAAAGGATTGTATTGCATAGCGTATTGTAAAGGGATAATTCATATTTTCTGTTAGCAGATATAATCCCATCATGAATGGTTCATTTTAGCCTTGTAAATTCTTATACTGAGTAACCATGCAATGTTTTTTTTTTAATTATCATTAATTATTATACTTTAATTTATTTTCATATTTAATAGACTTGGAATTTTGTTTAACAAATGAATACAATGTATGATGACCAGAAACCTAAATATTTTCAAGTTTATTGACCTCTTAAAATATTAAATATGACACTTTCTCATAGAACAGAATATTCACATCAAAATATGTATCAATTGTTGCGATCTTGAATAATATTTCAAATTGATTAAGTAGATTAGTTTTCCATTCTGACAGGTGGGTGATTCACTTCATATTGAAATATCACTTTGTACTTGCATTACTTGATCTGAAGTAATTTATAACTGATGTTCTTTGATATTGTTGACACTGTTTTTCCAGTTATTGTACTACACCAGAACCTATTCCTCAATAAACATTACAAGTTACATTGCATGTGTGCGCAGGCAACATATTCAAATTTTACTCTTTGATACAAATGATTGAATATTAAAGTTATTATCTCATTTACAGTGATCAGTTGTCATGGAGACAATATAGCTCTTTTGTTTTGCAGCTGCTACATACCAGATAAAATTTAAAGATAATTATTTTTTTTGCTTAGTGATAATGGCTTTCTGTCCATCTCAATTTCCAGCCTGTGTATCAATGGACATCAATAGAACTTGAAGCAGATCAAAATATTTGTCATTGTTATAACTGTATACAATCAGCCACTCTAAAATAATGATTACCATGGAAACACTATTGATTCAGACAATTGTCCTACTGTTATTATAATTACGTATAGACATGGACTCATTTCCTTTTAGACCGATGTAGGGATGGAAGCAATTAAAAATGATAATACATGGTACATGTATAAAATTAGCACATCATTGTGTGTAAATAAAAGATTTCAAACAATAAACGTTCAGTGATAATTTCACTTTTTGTTATTATATATTTGACTGTTAGTAACGACAGTACCGGTAGTAAAATAAATTAAGATAAAATATATCATATTTGCTGTATTCACACATAGAAACTAAAAATTTGGTCATTAAAATATGACTTATTTTGTCCATAGACACACCTGATAATAAAATATAGGTGATAATAATATAGAGTTTTGTAGTGTTTATCATATATTACTGTAGAATACTTTATTTTCACTTGGAATTTATTTTCGCCATTTTCGCTGAAGGGATGATTCCGTGAAAATAAAATCCAGCGAATATACTTTTTTTCCTATATTTCACATTAAACTCATCAAAAATCAGTGAAAATAAATTCCAAGCAAAACGCCCAAAAAGCCTTTTCAGCAAAAATTAATTCCAGCTAAAATAAAGTATTCCACAGTAGCATAAAGAATTCTTGTATAAATTTTATAGACAATATGAGAAATTGCAAATTCGGACTCTCGTGTTGATCCTGGACAAGATAACACATTGTTTGCATAGCATTATTTTTATAATTACATGCTTTCTCTCTCATGTCAATTGAATACATGTCATTTATTCAAGATGTCAGTGAATTCCAACCATGTATGTATATATGACCATGGACACACCTCTGTCATAAAACCATATGCTTCTCAGAGAGCACATTTCTACATCACATTTATCAGCATTTTCTAACAGAAGTGCACATAAATTTGTAAACAAACAATAATTGTGTTTATTTTATGATCATTAAAATATTACTCTTTTTGACCATATCTCTGCTATTTACATAAGCACATGCACTACTACCGGTAATATAACTTGTACAGGAATGCATGAATACATCCAAATCAAATTTTACTGTAATTTGCAACTATTTCAAATATTTCTTTGTCTAATTCTATGGTGTAGTAATTGCTATTTTCTATATTGACATCCAGACTTTGTATTGTGCATTTTTTGAGACACTGCTAATTCAAAAGCTGTACAATATTATCAAATATTTAGTATGTATTGTTTGTAAATGAATGTACACATGATAGTGGATGTAGATTACAGTTGCCAAAGTTGTCTTTCCATTTTGAACTGCACATGACTCGAAAGCTGTATGCATGCAGTTCTAGTGAGTTGGGGTAGGCCAGGTAATCAGTATGCTGTTATTATACATGTACCATACCTGTCGTATGTTGTTATACAGAAGTGCACAATGATTAACTCTTTGAGCACCAAAATCATCTTCAGTGACCATCCACTGAGTTTGTCTGCTCTTTTTCACATAAAATGTTGATAACAATTTTTAAATTTTTTGATCAAAAACTCGAAGCAGTATCACATTTTGTCTTTTAGGTCTAAAATTAAAACTGAATTCAGTGAAAATTACACAAAATATAAACAAATTTACACCTTTTTTGAGCAGGAAAACAATTGGCACTCAAAATTTGTTAATTTAAATTTAACAAATAAAAAAATATTATTAATTCTTAGCTGTATATAAATGTGCATTCAACATCATGGGTATACATGTATTCACACAAAAAGGCAGAAAAGGAAAAAAAAAACATTTTTACTCAATACTATATAGCATTTTGAAGAAATATATGCTATCTACTGGATGTTACATGATTGTCTGCTAAATCATGGTGTACAAAATGACACATTGGAGAAACTGTTGTATTGATAAATAAATTGAAAGATAAATTTTAATAATATTTCTTTGATGTTGTTTAATATTATAAAAGCTGCTATTTTGTGCCCACAGTTGTAAGATATATACTGTCTTTTGTTTTACATTGAAATAGAGTTGCTTCATATTCATTCTGCGAAATTATAGTAATAGAAATGCTTCAAGGCTTTGAGCAGTCAAGTTACATCAACCTTGTTTCATGTCATCCATTTTTCACTTGACCATGTTTTACTCAACTGTGAATCCTTTCTCAATCAATAATAACATGTCATTTAAGAATATGCAAATTAAATTTTTGATGATTTACATTCATATTTAAAATCTATGGATGAATGATTAATGAATGCATTGTGATGTGAGATACTTTATCCTAAATAATGCAGATGTAAAGATAAACCAAATAATGTTCATATTTTACGTTTGTTTAATCGTTGTGAATTCGTCTTCACAAAATAACACTTGAATGTGAGATGAAACAATTTAATTGAATTCATATTGTATATTTTACAGATAGATGCATGTCAGTTACATCAAATTAAAATTAATATTCTTATTCTGTAAGTTTGTTGATTGTCGGTATATGTTTTATTGACTGACAGTGGTCATGTGTGACATATGTGCCAAATCTCCCCAAGGAATAGCAGTCAATCCTTGTAACTCAGACACCTAATCACTTTGAAATGAATTTTCCTTCAATGATTATAATCACTTTTGACCCACTTATTGAAGTATTTCTGTAACCATGCAATGTCTTCATTTC